GGTGTGGGGTGTCTTTTCAGGGTTATGAAAATGTTCTGGAATGAGCTAGTAGTGATGTTTGCATGGTTTTTGAATGTACTGAATACCGCTGAGTTGTGCACTTTAAAAGGGTGAATTGTAATGGAATGTGGATGACGTCTCAAGAGGAAAATTGAGAAGCTGAGAGAACAGGGAGCAGAAGAGTTCCGAGGTAGCATTTGGCAGGTGGGTGACGTGCAGGCTCTGGAAAGGGGTATTTGCAGCCACCCAAAACCCTTGATGGTCTGTGACTCTTTAACATGGTCTGACTCGATCCAGCGGCCACAGAAATGGAAGCTACTGCTAAGGCGTGGTATGTGCTGCGAGGGAAGCCGAGCTTGGTCCAGTGAGACTTGAGGGCATCGGGAGCACTTAAGAGAGGGCAGTGAGTGGAGCACTCTGAGGGAGGAGGCACCTGGCTGGGCCCCCAAGCTGAGAGACTGTGAGATTGGGAATGGCTTTCCGGGCCCGGGAGCCACGCGTCCAGACTCAGATGTGGAAAGGAGCTTGGCTGAAGTGCGTCTGGGGAAGAGAAAGGCTGTGTGGCTTCCCTCCGGCTGGGAGGATGGTGTCCTCTTTTTGGGGAAAAGGTTTTAGGGAAGGAAAGTGACTAGTCCAGGACCACAAGGCTGGAGAAAGCAGAGCTGAGGGTGGGGGTGTGGGGGTGTGGGGGGTGGTGGTTCCATCCAACCTCTCACTGCCCAAGGCCACCAGTTGACATTTGACTGATTTCCTTTTACTCTTTCTCCCCTCCCCCCATGAATATTTTACAAGGTAGTGAAGAGCATCCTGTGCATGAGATTTTCTCTCTTCCCTTGGTCTGAAGACCTCCCACGTGGTGAAACACATTTCTGAGTGTGATGACACTCCCGCTGTCTGCACTACATTTCATCGTGTGCTAGTGCCCCGCTCGGGCAGACTTCACCGTGCTTTCTCTGTGCTTGTGAATATGGACGCTTGTGTGGCGAGTCTCTGTGCACGCATTTTCATTAACCTCTCAGATTGTTGCCCGAGGACCCCAGCTTAGAAATACAATCACTGGAGCAGAGGGCACGGCTGCTGGGCACCTGTCGTGCTGTCACCCTTCCTGTAACGGGTGAGGCGGGCACGATCCCACCGCCCTTCTCACTGCGCCCTTCCCCGCATCCTGTCAGCGCGACGTCAGCTACAAAAACTGGTTGGCTCGATATGTGACCATCACATCACTGCCAACCGACTTTACTGGCTAAATTATTTGGATTTAGCACTGAATTTTGTTGTCCACTTGGCTTGGCCTCCCCAATTTTCCTAATGGGGTCAGAGCAAGAGAAAGGATGTTCATTTGTTTTTGCATCATGTGTGTTTTAAATATATTGTCTGTTAATATTAAGTTTAGAAAATTCTTTCTTTCATCCAGGGATTTTATAAAGATTCACTTCTATTTTCTTCCAGTTTAAAAAATGATTTGCTATTTTATGGGGCTCTCTGAATCTCCCTGAGCTCATGGAAATGGAACAGCTGAGGGGTTCAGCACCACAATATCTATGTCTCACTCTTCCTTCCTTCCTGCTTATCTTGTTAAATCTCTGGTTTCTGTGAGAGACTGAAATAGACCAGGTTTGCTCTGAGGCTGGTGACTGTTCTATTGTATGTTTATCTCACCTTGCTAGATCACCAAGTTTTCCTTATGAGGGTGTGATGCTGTTTTAATACCTGTCAAGGGAAATCCTTCCTCATTACTGGACTTTAAAATGTTAAAAGTGGGCCTCCCTGGTGGCACAGGGGTTAAAGTCTCAGTGCTATCACACTGTCGCCAGCCCCTGCTGCTCCCCTCAGCAGTGTATTTCAGGAGATCTGCCTGTTCTGCTCCCCACTCTGTCTCTGGTGAGTCCTCTTACCCCCTGCACCTCTGGCCTGTACCCCAGTTCTTCTATGCAAATAAATAAATATATAAATACATAAATAAAGGGAGTAAAATGTATGATATATGACTAATATCTGAATTTAAAAAGTGGACAAAAGTAAATTTTAAACATGTTTTAATTAATTTTGGAAAGGAAGAAAATGATCAATCTTTACTTGACAAAATGGAAAAAGAGAACAAGTGGTCACCTCCAGGGAATAAGAGGGATAATATGACCCATATAAGAAATTAATACTTGAGAAAATCAAGCATTAGCATTTACCAACTAATTTGCAACACTGGCTTAATGCAGGAAAAGAAGGAGGAGGGAGAAGAAAAACAAAGTAGAAAATCTTCTGGCCCATTACTGGATCAAAAATTGTGCAGGGACCTCCCTGGTGGTGCAAGAGGTTAAGTCTCAGCACTGTGAAGCTATCTGCAGCCGCTGCAGCACGAGTTCGATCCCCAGCCAGGGAGCTACCCCCATGGCGCAGCAGACCCCTCCTGCCTCGCCCGCTGCTCCCCTCAGCGGTGTATTTCATCAGTCTGCCTGTTCTGCTCCCCACTCTGTCTCTGGTGAATCCTCTCACCGCCGCCCCTCCACCCTTCTGTCCTGTGCCCCAGTTCTTGTGTACATAAATAAAAATCTTTAAAAAATATTGTGCAGGCGAGCTACATGGAAGGGACTTCCACATCCATCCAAACTTCTGCATCTGCGACTTTTATTTGTCCAGTTTATGTTGCAGTTCAGCAAAGACCCTTGAAAGCGTGATGCCCAAGAAAGTGATCTTATCCGCCACTGCCCTTAAAAGGGCGTGCAGCCAATTGGCGTAATTTAACCCTGACGTGAGAAACCCTCACTGATGCACACTTTGCTACTGCAAATTATATAACCAACCTTAAAATCAGTTTCTGAGTAAAGACAAGCGAGAATGACAGAGCAGCAGCCCAGTTTCTCATCAAAATGCAGAGAAGATGCTTCTGGAATATAGTAAGGAGCTAGAGCTGCTGTGTGAGGAACGACAAGCCACTTAGATCATTTGACCAAACTATTGAAAATGGAAAAACTGCCTTCTGCACCAACAAAATGTGAGGACTGGAAAATCACCATTATGGGGAGGAGCGGAAACGGCCCCTCTTTCACATGAGGCCCACAGCCGGTTGTTACCAGCTTGGCGACCTTTGCGGCGTGGACAGGAAGGAACGGCGTCACCTAAAAGTTCCATCGGCCAAAAGCTTGTTCACACCAAGGACCGCCAGCTCACCCTCACCAGCCCGACCTGGACGGTAACAGCAGGGAGACCAGGGAGACTCTCCAACCCACCTTGCTCCATAGCGCATGGGCTCTGGACCCCAGGCTTGGAGCCTTCTCCCTCGGGGGGGGGGGTCTTCCACACAGACCCCGTGCCCTGCCCCAGGACCATGCCCTGTGCTCCGGCCTGGCCACCCCACCGCCTTCTCATGGGATCTCTTCACGAGCACCCTGCAGACACCCGGCTGGCAGACCCCCCCAAGTGGCGCCATCGGCCACTAAGCGTCCATAGAGGGGCTCACCCAGGAGGACTGCTGTGGGGTGATGAGCCCCTTTATAGAAACAAAACAACACGAACAGCGTAACAGGGTCTATGATCCAGATGTGTAACTATAATGGACAAAAACTTTAATTATAAACGGTGACTATAATCACAAACTTTATGCTAATACTCCACAAAATAGAGCACCTGGGAAAAATAAAAAAAGCAATTGAATTGATTCATAGCAATAAAAAATATGACTAGACCATGTTCATGGAGAAAAATTTTTAAGTAAACAAAGAATTTGCCCCAACAATAAACTTGCCATAAAAGTTATAGTTTTCAAGATTCCAGGGACACAATGATTCCTTTGCTCTATTTATTTTCTGATATCAGATCATAAAAGGTAGAAATTTGCCTGATAAATTAGGTGATATGAGTGTATCTTTAATATTAAACCTTGACGAGGACAGGACATAGGAATGTATGACACGAGCCTCATTTATGAATGTCAATCTGGAGTTGAGCCCTGGCGTCCAAGGTCAGCTGCAGACGTGACATCAGCACTATGTCATATCAAGCCCACATTTTAAAATTGAGAGATTCCATACACAATCCAGATTCCTGGCTACTCCAGAGAAGTTAAAAGATGTGAAACTATGGAGCCAGGCTCTTGCCTGAGGACAGTGCTGAGGTGGGATGGGGACCCTGCCCTTGCTGGGGGTTTTCTCTGCACGGTCGGGTACCCTACATCCGGGTCTGACGAGAGGCCTAGAAGTCAGTCATTTTCACCATGTTGGAAGGGCTCATCTTCCGGTACAGAGACGTCTATGTCCTGAGCCTTTCAAAAGCCAGAAGACGAAAGGAAGAACAAGAACATGTAGGAAAATGCTTCTACATTTCGTAACACCTGCCTTGCTATAAGATGATAGTGTTCAAGACAGAAGGGGTTGGCATAAGGGTAGACACATGGATCGATGCAACAGACTCCGAAAAACCATAAGTAACTCAGATATTTATTTTTTGACAAAGGAATCAAAACAAGTCAATGGGAACACGCCTCTGTGTGATGGGGACCCACAGCTCGTGTGGCCACTGAGCACCACCGTTTGGTGTCATAACAGCTGTCCTCGCAGCTGGATTCCCAGGGAACCCCTAGGAGCTCAGAGGCACGGGGGCACTTCCACTCCAGGGGTGCAAGGGTGTCAGCTGCACCTCCCGGGCCCTGGTGTGGGGCAGGCACAGGCCTCTTCTGGGGAGGCGGGTCCTCTGGGATTTGCTCCCCACCAGCAGGAACAACACAGGGTTGGTGCAAAGGGACCTCACTGGGGATACAGATTCATTGACGATGGGGTGTGTATGTGAATCTGGGGGCTGTCATTGCTCAGGGCCAGCCTCTCTATGTCTCTGACTCTGAGCTGTGTCTCAGGTGCTGTTCCCGTGGCTTTGCCCAGTGGGATTTAGAAGGACACAGGCCTCCTGGGGGTCATTCCCTCCATGGCTATATCCCCCTCCCTATGCTTCGGCTGAGGGGGCAGGTGCAGGGCAGGAGGCTGGACCTGTGTACAGGTTGGGGTCACAGGGGCATGGACGTGTGTTTTCCAGGCTTCTCTGCCATCACGGGTCCAGGCACAGTGAAACGCTGGGAGCGGGACTCGCTGACCGTGTGGTGTCGCTATGGCCCAGGCTACGAGACCTACAAGAAGTGGTGGTGTCGAGGGGCTGACTGGGGCAGCTGCAAGATACTTGTTCGAACCACCGGCTCGGAGCAGGAGGTGAAGAAGGGCCGCGTGTCCATCAGGGACCATCACAAATACCGCACGATCACCGTGACCATGGAGGCGCTCACGCTGGGCGATGCGGACACTTACTGGTGTGGGGTTGAGAGAGAAGGACATGACCTTCGGGCACAATTTAAAGTGACCGTTGACCCAGGTGAGCGCCTGTGCGTGTGGCTGTGTCTCTGTGGTGCCTGCTCTGTCCTGGTCCCTCGGGTCCTCCCCAGGGGTCACTGTTACTCAGGTTGACTGTCCCAGAGGGGGAGCCTCACCCGTGGGTGCTGTGAGGGGGGCTTCTCCTGGATGCTCAGGGCTCCAGGTCCATCCTGAACGGGGGGATCCTTGTGGCTCACTGTCCCCCTCTGCACGGCTCAGCCCGTCCGTCCATGGTCACAGAGGTCAGGAGATGAACCTGGCCAGCACACGGGCAAAGGGACCCCCTTCCATGGGGCCTGAGACCCCAATTCCTTTTGTGCTTTCTTTGCATCTCCCTGCTCTTTTTGGATTTGGGGCTGGGACATCAAGTGACTATTTTCACTTGATTATCTACATCTGCTCTCAGGGGGCCGGGCTTAGCCCCGTCAGGGGGTTGGCTGATTCCAGAGACCTGGAAACGCCCCCACAGTCAAGGGGCTGCTCCCCTGGGGCCTCACATGCGCCTGACCCCTTTCTGCACCTGGGCTCGTGGGTGTTTTTCCCTGAGTCCTTCTAGAATGCAGACACCCGGGGAAAGGCAGCTCAGGGACGTGAAGGAGCTTGTCTTGGGGATCCATCCAGTGACCTCCCCGGGGCACTGTGGCAAAGGGGGGGGCACCAACCCTGGGACCTGGGAGGCACGTCACTGTGCAGAGCAGCCGTTCACGCCCTGTGGAGTCCTGACCTCGTCCTGGGAAGGGCCGACGTCACAGAAGGTCACCCCTCGCCCAGTGTGAGGGTCTCCCTGGACACGGTGGGCTCGGGTGGTCCTGACCTGAGTCAAGGCTGGTCTGTTGGTGCTGGGCGGCCCTGCCCTGCTCCATAATGGCTGGAGGATGAGATGGGCCTCTGGGGGGACTCAGGAGCAGCAGGGCTGTTTACAGTTCAGGGACTCCAGCTGCCTGGCCCTGAGCATCCTGGCCCTCTACTCCCGGGGCCTGCGGGACGCCCTCCTGTTCCCACAGTCCCACCTGCCCCCAGGTTAATGAGTCTGCTGGAGGCCTGAAGGTCTGAGAGGTTCATCTCTAGGCCCCCCAGACCCTAGGGACCCTCTGGCTCAGAGGAGCACACAGGGCTGGGGCATGCTGGCAGGTAGAGTGTGTGTATTTGATTTGTGTGCCAAGCAGCCACTACAGTTTCCACCACCACCACCATCACCACCAGCACCACCACCACCACCCCCACAGCCACACCCTCAATAACAGCGCCAGACACCCCTAAAGAGGACAAAGTCTCCCCGACTGTAACCGAGAGCAGGTAAGCCACATCTGATGCTACTGTGTTCTGTACCCCTGGGCCCACTCTCCTCCTCGGGGCCCCTTGTAGCCACAGTTCCCGGCTGGCACTTGTCTCTGGACCCTCTGAGGGGGAGCCTGAGGGGCTTCCCCTTCATCCCAGCTCAGGGGCCAGAGCCTGAACCAGGTGAGGGCGGGGTGGCTCCTGCTGGGGTCAGAGACAGGAGTGTCCCGGCCCCTCTCCTGCTTCCGGAGTTGGGGCACCCCTGGTGTCCCCTGGCATGTGGCCCTGCTTCCGGGGCCTCTCCCTGCGGGTCCCTGCACCCCTTTCCCTCTAATCAGGACACCAGTCACTGGACAGGGCACAGCCCAGAGTGACCTCCTCATCTTGATGACACCTGCAAGGGTCTCCTGTTCAGGAGGTCACCCCAAGTCTGAGTGGCCTGGACTGTGGGGGACACTATTCTACCAGTGCTGGACAGGGCTGGGACCCACTTGTGGACCCCGATGCTGTATTTGTCTTGGGTTCCAGACCCCCTGGGACTGCCTGGGGGGGTCCTTCTCTCCTCTCTGTTTTTTCTTAACCCTCTTTGAGGGCACCCGAGACTGGGGCGTCCCAGGCTGGACGCCACAGGCCTGAAGGTCAAAAGGTGGTGTCCTCCCTGCAGCCAGTGGGTGGGAGGCCCAAGGGGGCAGTTGGGGTGCATGGGGTCCCCTCTGTGTTTTTTCAGGGACTTTGTCACGGAGATCCTCCCCGTGGTGGCGGCCGTGCTGCTGCTGGTCCTGACGGCGGCCTCGCTCCTGGCCTGGAGGCTGGTGAGGCGGCAGAGGAAAGGTGAGAGGCCGGTCCCGGCGGAGGGATGGGGCTGAGGCCGTGCTGCCCTCCAGGCTCACGGGACAGGTGACCCCCAGGGGTCCCACAGGCCACCTGAAGGGCAGGCTGTGGGGAGATGTGGACCCGAGGGGAGCCCCCGGGGCCTGTCACTCCTGCTGCTGCTCAACCCCGGCTCTCTCTGCTCTCTGCCCCGCCCCTGACGTGGCTTAGCTCTTGGGGCAGAGGCAGCCAGGGCCTTAGGCAGCAGTTCCAGCTACAGGCCAGGACACTGAGCTGGCACGGGGGCCAGGGGAGAGAACCCCCAGGCACAGGACCCTGCACACGCGACTGCACACACCACACGCGCGCACACGGCGTCTCCACGCTGCTCCCTCTGCCCGGCCCCTTCTGCCCCGGACGTGTCCCGAGACCGCGGCCCCTTAGGGATCCTCCTCGGGCCGGCGCTGGGCACGAGCTCTGGCCTCAGCCAACCCTTTCCCGCGGGCTCCGTCCACCTTCTCACACCCACCCCCGACTCCTCCGGGCCGGGCCTGAGCTGTCTCGGGACCCCGCGGCCGCCCTCCCCGGGCTCTGCTGGTCTGGGCGGAGGAGCCGGGTCTTCCTCGTCACTGTCCCCCCGGACGCGCAGGCCGGGGCCCCGGCTCTGAGCACCCCTGAGCCCGGGGGGTCCCTAGACTTCCCCGCGGGGAAGCAGGAAGAGGCTTCTCTGTGGTCCGTGAAGCAGGAGGCTGGGGCGGGCGGCAGGGGTGGGCCAGGAAGACACGGGAGCCCGCGGGGCACCGGGAAGCTGGTCCAGACCGCGAGACCCCGCTGGCAGGTCCCCCGCAGGGCAGGTGGGGCCGCCTGTGTCCCAACAGCTGTGCCCCCGGCCCCGTGTCTCCTGCGCTGGCACAGCCACGCCAGGGCGCCCTCCCTGCAGCCACCACCTCGGGGACCCCCCAGGACCTGTGGGACGTCAGTGACGGGACAGACAAACCCAGGGCAGCCCGGGGTGGGGCGGGGAGGGCTGAGGGGGCCGGTAGCAGCGCAGGCAGCTCAGGAGTCCGTGGAGCTCGAGTGGGAACTGGGGGACATTGGGGGTTGGGGGTTCCGGGCAGGGCTGCCGGCCAAGGTGGCAGGTTGAGCCTGGGCTGAGGGGAAGGGAAGGTCCCTGGTGCTGCGGGCGGCCGGCAGGGCCCCCTGAGACTGAGGCGGGTTCTGTGACGTGGCCGCGGCTGGGCCGAGGGTCCTCACTCTCCAGGGGGAGAAGTGGGGGCCGCACGGGGGAGGTGACGATGCCGCGTGTGCTGGGTCAGCAGGGCCGGGGCCTCCCTGAGCAGGACCCGGCTCACCCTTTGCTCCTGTTTCTCTCCCCAAACCCGGGCCTGTGAGTCTCAGATGGGTTTTCTGATTCCTACTGTCTTTGTCTTGCAGCTTCCGGGATTTCCCCAGAGCAGGTGAGAGCCGGAGGCCAGACCCTGGACACCAGCCAGCCCCACGCCCAGCACTGAGACCCTAATTAGCAGGCCCCCCAGGGCCCAGGTCTTGTACACCCAGCCCAGTGCCCAGTGCAGGGCCTGGTGTTGTGGAGGGCTGGGAGGGACCCTGGAAACAGCCAGAGGCAGGAGGGCTGGGAGGGGCAGGTGTGGGAACTGGAAGGGGGTGCTGGAGGAGCCTGCAGAGGGCACCAGGGAGGCAGAGAGGCTGGTGTCCCTCCAGAGGAAAAGGAACCTGTGCTTCCTGTCCAGGCTCCAGAGAGCGAACTCTGCTATGCCAGCCTGGCCCTGCATCAGTCGGGCACTGCCAGGAAGGAGGCCTCCGCCCAGGTGGAGGTGCAGGTGGAGTACATCATTGCGGGGTGTGCTGCGGGCTGGGGGGCTGGGAGCCGCCTGCTGGGTCCACCCCTGTGAGGATGGACTTTCTCCCACCCAGGTAGGCCCAGAGGAGGGGGAGCAAAGCCACAGCCATTGAAGACTTGCCTGGGGAGCCCGCCCCTCACCCCTTCCTGCTTTGGGCTTTGGCTGTGTCCCCACCCCGGGGGCTCAGCACTGGGAACTCAGACCCGGAGAACAGGGTCCTCGAGCCTGGCAGGAGAGACCCACATGGCCGAGTGACCTGGGGCCCACTGTGTAGGGCTGAGGGGTGTCCTCTCTGGGGGGAGCTCAGGGCCCCTGGCAGAGGGCAGGGCAGGGGAGCTGGAGGGTCTGGGGTGGGCTTCACAGCCCAGAAGAGTCAGTCTCACCTCGCGAGGCCTCCCCTCCTGCCGGCGCCGCCTCCTGCCAGCTGACACCCACCGTCTTTATCTCAGGGTCCTTCTCAGCAGGACATTACGTACGCAGCCCTGTCTCTGGGTCCCCTGAGTCAGGAGCCCACCTACGGCAACACGGAGCAGCTTGTCACCCACATCCCCCACAGCAGCCAGGAGGAGCCCGTGGAATACAGCACCGTCAGGAGGCACTGAGCCGGCTGAGCCCTGCTGACCCAGCCTGGACCTGAGCTCGGGCTGCCTCACCTGTTCTAACCCAGGACCTTTCGAGGGACCCAGGAGTGACCAAGGCCTTGCTAGTGGCCAGCATCACCCCACCTCTGGCTTGGGCTCAGGGCCTAGTCTGAGGGGTTTCTAGCAGTGAGACAGTGGTCTCCACTTCTCTTCCTTCCCACCCTCATGGGAGGAGCTGGGGACCAGCTGTGGTCCTGCCCAGGCTGGATAATAACGATGGTGACAATTATGTCGTGAACCTGTATTAATTGCTTAGTCTGGGTGTTGTTCTCAGTAGTGTCCCCAGGATATCTGAGCCCCAACACCGAAACCTGTGAGCATTGTCCATGAAGGTGGCAGATGTGGTGAACCCAAGGCTTTAGAGATGGGGGACCACCCTGGATGATCCCGGGTGGCCCCCAGTAAACATCCTATAGAAGAGGGCAGGAGGGTGGCAGGAGAAGAGGTGTCAAGGCAACCGAGCCAAAGTGACTGCGCTGAGGTTGGAGCCAAGCCACTGGGAGCCCAGGAATGCTGCAGGCGGGTACCCTGTGCTCCCAGATGTCCAGCCCCGCTGAGACCTTGACTCCAGCCCAGGGAAACTGACTCCCTACTTCCGGCCTCCAGATGTAGTGAATAAATTTATGTTGTTTTTATGGAGCCACTCGACTTGCAGTGATTTGTTACAGCAGCAACAGGAAGGGATCACGTGTGTGCGTGGCGGGTCACAGCCCTCCAGTTCGTGTGGGAATCTCCCTGGCTGGCAGGGAATCCAACCTGCGCTGCAGAGGCTGCGGACAGATTCACAGCGCTGCGCTCAACTAGCTACGCCATTGGGTAGGCCCTGATCCTTCTTGGTTTAAAGTTGACAAATTGGGCCTCCCTGGTGGTGCAAGGTGTTACGCAGCTGTCTCTTTCTT